TTCCGAAACCAGTGGTATAAATAGTATAAAAAAGATTTTATTTATTAAAAATTATTATATTTATTAAATAAAAAATTATATAAAAAATAAGCTATAATAAATAAAATAAATTCTATTTATATATATATTATTCATTAACCAGCTATAATATTATTTAAAAGAATTAAAGTATAAAACTATTATTTTAAATTCTAAATAATTATTTATATAAATAAAAGCTGCAGAAGATAATAAAAAAACTTTTATTATAAAATTAAAATCTTAATATAAAATTTAGTTTTAGATATTAGTTAGTATGTGAAGTCTTATATATTATATTTTAAATTAATACTATCTTAATATATATATAAAAAAATTTTATATAAATAAATAAAATAGCTCTCTAACTATTTCTTCTTATTTAAAAACATATTTCGATTGGCACAATCCATCCGTCCCGGAACAGTATTTATAACTAGCGAGTTTTAATACAGAATTAAAATAATAATTAAAAACATTATATAACATAAAAATATATAAAATTGAATAAAACTGTCTTTAATTCTTATTAAAAAAAAAGATAATCATTAGATATAAAAATAAAAAATATTAATATATAAAAACTGGCGTAGAAGACGTCCGGATAAATAAATAAATAAAAATAAAAATAAATAATCAGTTTTTTAAAAAGATTCAAAAATAATATAATTTAATATACTTATATATTACAAAGTAAAAAAATATATGGAATATAATATTAGAATACAAAAATACAATTCTTACATATATTTGGAAAAACAGTTAAATATACATAAAATATATATTACCAACTGTAATAAACTAGTCAATGATAAAATATAAAAAAAGTTGTTTATTACTAAAAAAACTAAAAGAACCAGATATTTAAGATAGTCGGCTATAGTAAACCATAGTTACTAATACTGTAGATAATAGTATAGGAAGATGCGAAGATCTTAATATACTGATTAGAACAACAGCAGTCACATATATATATTTCAATATATATAAGCAAATATTTGATCAAAAACTTTATACCACGAAATAAAATAAATAAAATATATATTCAAAGCGGTAGAATACAGTAATCTCAAAAATACTGCTATATAATGAAGATAATTTTTTGGCTATTGGGCTCTACTGGAAATCTAAAAATAAATATTGTTGCTACTTAGGAGCTAGATACAGGGATTAGGAGATGGAGCTCGAAGGCAGAAGCTATAGGCAGAACACCCGCGCGAAAGGAAACTGCAACAGATAGATAGGCGGATAGAAACCCACCTTTTCTACCGGAAAGGCTGATCCCACTGCTTGCCCCATCAGTATGCAAGAAAGCATTCAAGCTCTTGTTGAGTCCATTTCCTCATCCTTTTCCCTCCCCCTACCTTCACCCGGCGCGCTTTCCTCCCCACAATACCGACCAACACCACGCTAGTAGAAATAATAAGATCTATAGTCCTCTTAAAGGCTTTTTTTTTTAGTAAATGTAGTCATGTAATAGAATAATATAGTACATATTGGCCAACACCAAGATACCATACTTATCAATCATCTGGATATTCATCGGTAATATTACTCACAAAAACCCCTCTATCATTATCCCATCTTTTGAAGTGTTTGCCTGCAATTGCGACCAAACTTTGTGGCAAATCTGCTATCTCTGTGACAAGAGGCTCAATGCTTTCTTCTGCCACATACCGAACACTTCTATCCTCAACACTGGAATTGTTAGCCTCACAGTCGGTTAGTAACCTTATCGAACACAGTCACATACAGTACATGATAGAAACTCTGGTGTCGACCATTTCGAAGATTGTCCACTCCCATACGTCTCATCCACTGCTCACCCGCACCACACTCCACATCCCACCCAGTGATAATGGCGCGGTATGCGTATCGGCGATGCCTGAAAACCTGGCCAATTCGATACCTGACGCTGCCATCTTGGGAGCGCTTTTTGACCTCCCTCGGAATCCCGTCCACCGCCCGCATAACATGAAGGCTTTCCAATATGTTGTCATGCTCAGCCATACCGTTGAAAATAGGAGTAATGAAGTGCTCAACCAGATTTACATCTGATGGAAATTCCATGGCTAGAAGCTCCATTAACCATGGAAGGTTATGCCTCAACTCGATAGAGCGAGCCGGATCTGAAAGTAACATAGATGACCAAACAGCGGCATATTTTGCACTGGCCAAATCAACTGATGCAGAATGTACGTCGTTAAAATCACTACCGCGCTGAATAGAGTTTAATATGTTCTTGCTGGAACGAAGCACGATCTCAGACACCTCAGACTTCCCAAGGAACGTCGATTGCTCCGCAGCGGAGGCTCCCAGAAAGTTCAACTGATGCTGCAGATCCGTAACTGGTGTCTCCTTGTCTGATCTGAACGGATCCATATAAATAGGACCTCCTCGCATTCCAGCTTCGACTGCATGACCATCGACATCATATCCGGTCGCAGGCATGATAATTACGTGAACGTGGAAAGGAAATCCGCATGGCCTGGCGTCCAGGCCTAATTTCTGTGCAATATGGCAGTAAATAGCAGCCGAGACTAGAGGAAGTGAGTTGTGTGCAGGATCGTTCAGTGAAACACCTAAGAAATTATGCTCCAGGCGATGATAACTCCTTCCTGGTTCAATACCATTGAAATTGTTCGCTCGAAGGAAGCCTGCGATGGCTCTAGCCTTATTACGACAGGTTAATTGTTGAAATTGTGGGTGATTTTCGATAAATAGCGACGTGACATTATCCAATTTGGTGACGATCTTCAAAGCCAGTCAGTTATGACATTTCCAACTTAAGATGATAGCCTACCTCTTCCAGACTACCAAACCCACTCTCCGGGATGAATAGATCGAACGCTCCCAGCGCCCTACTTAAAGACACAACCTCTCCACGTCTGAGGTTTTCCCATTCCCGGATGGCAAAGCTTCGATGGAGACAGGACAAGACCGCCCTGGCGTAATATCTTTCATGGTAGACGTATGGTTAAAAAATATGGCAGGCAGAAAGGATATAAAGTTAATGGTACCAACCTCCGCGCCAAATGGTCTTCTGCCTCGGACCCCACAGAGATGTTATGTGAAAGAGCATCTTTAGCATCGTATCCAAGGTCAGTTATTGCTTGGATCTGCTCGATCCTCCCAACCTGACTGCAGAGGATATTGTTCAGCAGGCGTGTAGTTGCGCGGTAGCTTGTATGCTTCGTTACATAGAGCTGTTTCCAATCTGTACTTGATATGGGAGCTGTCAACCTCTTAGACAGTTCGTGACAAGGGGCCCAATAGATGAACTTTGTCAAACAATAATAGCGCCATAGTGTCGGTTCATTAGTGACTCCACGAAATCTGCGAGCTGTTTGTTCTAATGCGGCTGTGGAGAATGGTTCACAGTAATGAAGGACGTGTTGTATCAGCTCTTCAGGGAGACAAACAAGAGACAAAACCATACTGCCAAACAAGTATATAAGGATGACTTGTAAGAGTATGACAAAATGACCTCAATAGTAGACTGAGCAACGCAATGAGTCGCCACACTAGTGAGCACCTGTATGTTCCGATATCATTTGAGGTTGGAGAACACGAATCAGAGTTAGGCGGATACCCGGCTACTTTTTTTGTTGACCTACATATTGAGAGTAACCATAATTCGTCAAAAACGTATATCCTTCAATCCTTCCTTCTTAGCATTGAGGAACAAATACCGCAGGAATGGGCCAATATTACTCCACAACCAACACTGAAGAACCCGGTACCTCTGTTGATAAGAACAAGAGGATCGGGTATTATGAACTCTTGCAGGTCGCTCGAGACGCATCTGGAGAAGAGTAAGCCATTTCTTTTGACCCTCCCTTCCCTTCTCATCCTCTCTATCTGGCTTACTTCAAACTGACACCATCTGCCGGCTGCTTAAAAAGATTAAAAAGGCATACAGGAAAAAAGCTCTGGAGTTACACCCTGACAAGAACTTTGGAAATGTGGAAAACGCGACGAAGCTATTTGCGGAGATTCAGGCTGCTTACGAAGTGCTCTCAGATCCCCAAGAGCGCGCCTGGTATGATTCTCATCAAGAAGCCATTTTAGGGCAAGATGGAAATTTTGAAGATGTCAGATTATCGAACAATACCAAAATCACCACTGCAAGTGACATATTCGGGCTGTTTTCACAATTCAGTCCTCGAATGGAGTTCTCTGATTCCCCTGAGGGATTCTACGGTGGTCTTCGTGAGATTTTCTCACGTCTCGCTCTGGAGGAAGAGCTAAGTACCTCCTGCGAAGGAACAAATACAACAAAGTATCCAACCTTTGGTTGTCGTGACGATGGCTATGAGGAAGTTGTGCGTCCATTTTACATGGCCTGGAGTGGCTTCTCAACCACAAAGACATTCGCGTGGAAAGATAAATACCGTTATTCAGAGGCCCCAGACCGACGTGTTAGGCGGCTGATGGAGAAAGAGAACAAACGTCTACGTGAGGATGGAATTCGGGAATTCAATGATGCAGTTCGGTCGCTTGTGGCGTTTGTTAAAAAGCGTGACCCACGATACAAGTCCAATGTTCAGAGTGAATCTCAGCGGCAAGAATTTCTTCGTCGTTCCACTGCTGCGCAAGCTGCCAAGTCACGAGCAGTCAATCAAGCCAAGTTTCGCGAATATGTCGCACCAGAGTGGGCGATGTCACAAGATCACAGTGAGATTGATTCCGATAGCAGCTACAATATCTCAGATGTCGCGGTAGAGCTTTTTGATTGTGTTGTGTGTGATAAAAGCTTCAAGAGCACTAAACAATTTGAGACACACGAACGAAGCAAGAAGCATATTAAGGCCGTCAAACAGTTGCAAAGAGAAATGAGGGCTGAGAATAAGCAGCTGGGGTTGGTGGATGATTTCTCCACCCTCGACTCTACGCAGAAAACAACCGCTTTGCCATGTAACAGCTCAACATCTGTTCTAGACATGAACAGGAGGTCACTGTCAGCTTCACCAAGTCACGAATCGCTAGATTGCAGCAGTTCAAATGCAGAAACAGATGGTGAAGACAACCATCTCGACAAACACGATGACCCATGTACTGGCATCATCGCTACTTCCGGTTCCTCTAAGGAGGCAAATGATAGTTCAGATTGTGACACTGACTATGCCCCCCGAGATTGTGTGGAAGGTCGACTTCAGCCAATAGACGATGATATACAAAATCCGGCAGACACAATGAATGATCTAATTGAAAATCTGTCGGCAACACATATACACGAGCAGTCACCGATGACTCCAGCAAAATTGGGAAAGGCCAAGCTAAAGCGTCTGAAGAAAGCCCAACAAGCCGAGAATCAGGCTCAAGACCGCCGATGTGCTACCTGTGGTGTCGATTTTGCCTCCAGATCACAGCTTTTTACCCATATCAGAAATTCTAGCCATGCTCAGCTCCGGGTGCAGGCACTTGCAACCAAGAGGTGAATTTGTCGCATTCAGCAAAATAGCGTGGATATCTCGACTGCACCAAGCCTCCTTTGCTGAAAATTCTCGTGTCACTTCTTGGGCAACCACCAGTAGCTATATCTCAAAGACTTCATGAAGTACTACTGGCGAGCTGCTTCTACAACACGAACTTTGATCAACGTGATTAGCGAAGCCTGCTGCAGGCGTCTCTTAAGACGTCAATCTAGCCAAGGCCAGCCCTAGAGTTCTTTACAACGTGCGCCACCGGCTGTAGGATACCCTTATTGTTGGTAGCTCCCAGGGGTGTGCCAATGCTCCAACCCATCTTTTCAAGCATAGCCCTCCCCCGGTTTCCTGCGCCAATTTCTGGTGCCGAAGCACCAACAACTTCCCCATCCATGTATGTTGCCGACGCGTCGGGGCGGCTACGTCGAGCTTTGGCTGGTTTTGTCGCTTTGTGGTCCCAAGATTTGGAGCCTCGTTGGACGTACTTGCCCTTCGACAGTATTCGTTCCAATTGAGGGATGGTTTGCTGGGTAAAGCCTGGAGTCCGTGACGTCTTGTTCATGATTGGAAATCGATTTGTTCCTTTACCCCGTGACTGCGAAGTGAGACACAACAGGTTTGCCAGTTCATGCACTAGCTTTCGTTGTTGCTTCGCCATTGGAGGGAGAACCAAGCTTTGGTGCGATCTTGCGTTAGTCTAAACACTAGAACATACAATGAAGGTGTCGGAAGGTACCTATGCTTTGTTGACAACAGAAAAAGTCGTATTTCCATCTTCAGTTCGGTGCTGTCCATTCCTTTCGCATACTTCACCCTGAGATCTGGCTCGGCATTTCGTCGACCAAGCAACCCTTCAGAGCGAAGTTGCTCTCTTTGCTGCTTTCTCGATTTTTTCTTAGCGCGGTCGGTTTCCCATGCACTCAGGAGTTCCGCCTCCAAGTCACTGTCGGGCAAATAAGCATTAAATCCACGACCAGCCCGTTTGGGCTTTTTCTTCAGACTGGGTCGGTTGAAGTCCATGATATCAAACCCGTAGTAGGGATCAAGATCTAGCGCGTCGGCGAATGCATTCGCCGATGCAAACATGCTTTCCTCTTCGTCATGGTCTTGTTTAACATCTGAAGAGGGATCTCTAGTCTCCCATTCGTTTCCATGAGCAGAATCAATATCAGAGGACGAGTCTGGCAGCATTGTGTTGTTCAATCCACCCCCCTCCGCGTGCTCGGGATCATTGTCAACCAGTTGACTGCTTTCCCTGTGGCCATCCGTACCTGGGGCAATCAACAGGCCCTGTGTTGTCAGTCTCACCTCCGGATCATTGTCTGGTACAGTTAGCATGAGGACATATATTGCAAGAATATTTCCACCTACATTCTGCACGGTCGATGCACTCCTTTGAGGAACCCCGGCGAGCGGTTTTAATACGAGATGATGTTGCTCTATCGGCACGTCCCGTGCTGCCGTTGAAACGTGATGAATGACCTGTCTTCACCATGGTATACGCTTCAGAACCTCTGTCCTGGCTGCGTCCGCCCTGCAGGATAAAATATTCGTCATCCATGTTTGCGATATAATCTGCTAGGACAGAGTCTTCGTCTGTCGTGGAAAGCCTCCGCATGGTCTTCTCCTTCTTATTTGTCCTTTTGACCTTGAGACTGATATAATCTGGACATTCACCCAGCCCCTGTCCGACCGAGGACTCTTCTGCTGGAGCTATGTCGGGTCTAGACAGTGAGACACTTTCAGGGCATATATCAAGAGGGGGTGTGCGCCTTGTGTCGTCGGCGGGGCTGTGTATGTCTACATATTTGGCGACGGATATCGATCCGGATTCTCTAGGAGTGTACTCAGCGACCTGACTTCGGCGCCCCGAGAAAACCACCTCGTCCTCGCTGGAGTCATCTGTATTCGGGGACCATGATGTGGCTATGTCCGATGTGGCTCTAGGAGTGAGATCTTCCTCAGGCGGTTCAAAGTGGCATTGGTCATGATCAACTCCAAATGATGGGCTTGAAATCGTGACAGCATCAGATGACTTTCCGGTTGACAGATCCTGGTGTTCGTAAAGAGGTTCTGGAGGCCGTAGATTTTTCTCTTGATCTAAATCTGATAGCGTGTTTCTTGCGCTGACGAATTGTACCACGTGGTGGCGAAGAGAGGTGTCTACCCTTCGTGAGCTGCGGCCCTCTGTGTTGCGTGCTTCTTGTTGCAGTGTAAGATGGTTGTTGCCTGTGACTTCTGTGGCGTTAGCATGAACATGTGGGTATTCATGGTGAAAGGGCGCCAGTACCTTGAAGGCTGGATACTGTTCCTTTGTTCTTCTTGACCCTCGGCTTCACCTTGGACCGTGGCATCCTGGGGCCGCTCTTTTGTGTTCGTGATTGCTTGCGGCAGTGAAGGATGTACCTGAAGGATGTACCTGAAGGATGTAAGCGATGTGTAAGAATTGCAGTAGTTTCAAAACTTACCCGAAGGGGCGGCTCTGGGTTTTTTCCACTTTCTCGGGCGGGCGGTGAGTGAGTGTCTGCGGGGGGGGGATCCGATGTCCATACTCCACCTGTGTGGGTATCTACTGTCTAAATCTTTAAAGCTGTCAGTCCAGGCATGTCTGCGCTGCCTGCTTCAGATAGGTGTGTGCACTTAGTGGGTATCTCCACGATACATATATAGTCTTTCGGATACTTTGTCTCTATGACTTAAGATACTTCTTTGTGAGGCGCTAGCATAGTCGTGCGGCCTCATGTGTTTATATATTCTTCAACTGTTGTATGAACTTCACCAGCATTATGCCCCAAACGAAGGACTTGGAACACACGGCAAAGTAAAGAACAAAAGAACGCCCCATCAAAGATTTTGTTAGGGCAACTAGTAACATAAAGCATAAATGCCATGCCCATCCTGTAACTACACCCAACGAGAGCCTTTTCAGCCAAATGGTGCAGCACCGGTGCTCATATGGCCCCATTCCGCATGACCCAAGCGGGCCGGCGATGTCTTAGACCCACACCCCGCCGGACACTGACGTAGCAACCAAACCGGTGACAACCTTCCATCCTCTTGAGTGACCAGAACTGAGCACAGTGCAAAACCAAAGAGACACAGCAACCATGAATGCCGCGGATATCGGCCGCTGCAGCAAACGCATCGTGCAGTATATCTGGGATCCCGAACCTAGGAACGACAGAGAACCACACGAACCTATCTGGTGTTTGGGGGTAAAGTACCTTCCTGCCGAGGGGCCAGAAGCTTCACAGACCAAGACCCGTAAGCCTACCCGCAACCACAGGGTCCAGAATACACAAAACAAGATGAAGAGACAAAAAGAAAGAGTGCCCCAGCGAGTTGAACAGACCAACTAATACCTGCATATCACGTAGCCGATGATGGTCAAGAGGAGTGTGACGAAGGCAATGAGGTTGCATCAGCGGTCTCAAGGACACAAGGCACATCGGAGTATACTTGGCCAGAGACCTTCATCTCAGACTTTGAGTCAAGGATCTGGATGACCTATCGATCAAACTTCACACCAATACCCAGAACCGATGGCCACGACGCCAATACATCCATGACACTAAGCGTCCGACTACGAAGTCAGTTGTTGGACACGCAAGGTTTTACATCAGATACCGGATGGGGCTGTATGATAAGATCAGGCCAAAGCCTACTGATCAATGCGATGGCCTTTCTGCTACTCGGGCGGGGTGAGAAACATGGTCTCAGACACTTAAGACGGCCACTCTACCTTGCTAACATCTTGATAGACTGGCGTCGCGGACAGAGACAGAATGATGAAGCCAGCCTGCTATCACTCTTTGCAGACACTCCCAGTGCCCCCTTCTCGATCCACCGTTTTGTACAGCATGGTGCACAGTCATGCGGCAAATTCCCAGGAGAGTGGTTTGGGCCATCCGCAACCGCCAGATGTATTGAGTATGTTAAACCCACACGTTAAGATATCGACTGGAACTGAAGACCAAGCTAGGGCGCTCTCCACTTCGTGGCAAGAACCAGCACTCAACGTATATGTCACAAATGATACAGGGGAGGTTTATCGAGATAGATTCCTGGAAATCGCACGTAGCGGGACAGATGTGATTCAACCAACGCTCATACTTGTCGGAATAAGACTGGGCATCGATCGCGTGACACCGGCATACTGGAATGGCCTTAAGGCCGCGTTACAACTCCCCCAGTCGGTCGGTATAGCAGGGTATGCCCCCCGAGTAGCTATCACCAAACTAAACTGATGCGATCAACACATTAGGGGACGTCCTTCGGCTTCGCATTATTTTGTAGGCCACCAGGGTTCGCATTTGTTCTATCTCGACCCCCACTTAACCCGCCCAGCGCTTCCAGATCGTGACACCGGGCAGTCATACTCGAAAGATGAGATTGACACTTACCACACGCGACGACTGCGGAGGATTCACATGCGGGATATGGATCCAAGTATGCTTATAGGGTTTCTCATCCGAAATGAAGCAGACTGGCAGGACTGGGAGGGTCGGTTGAAATCGGCAGAAGGCAGAGCGATCATCCATGTCATCGATGAGATGGATACATCAAACATGGGGCGAGATGCTCTGGACGAAGTTGAGGTATTGGACGATACAGAATAGACACCTGGAACGAATGCGAGGCTCCTAGTCCAGGAAGACTTGCCTGACAATGTACGTCGATCCGGTAAAGCTGCGTGGATGAAAACATGGATATGGAAAGCAATTCAGAAATCGAATTCTGCTAGGGAAGGCAAAATTGCGCGACCAACCCCAGATCCGTGTTATGTTACACCGCATTCATGTCACGAAAACCATAAAAAACATTTGGCCCAAGGGGAAAAAATAAAGCCATCCCATGACACATTAGAAAAAAATCCCGCGAACACCCTGTAACCCACCACCTCAAGACCGTTGCTGATGACGAGGTAGCATAAAAACAATCCCGCAGAAACAAACAAACAAAACAGAAGCTTATTTGGCAGAAGAAGAGTACTTTGTAACAGCCTTAGTGCCCTCGGACACCGCGTGCTTTGCCAATTCGCCAGGGAGAATGAGCCTCACACTACATTTCGTCAGCTGGTGCCCCATGATTCACTAAATTGGTAACTTACGAGGTCTGGATCTCCCGCGACGAGATAGTGGATTTCTTGTTGTAAGCAGCGAGCTTGGAAGCCTCGGTAGCAACGCGCTCGAAGATGTCTAAAGAAAGTCAGCATCTATGATAAGACTACTATACGGCCAGAACGAAACATACCGTTGACGAAGGAGTTCAGGATGGACATGGCACGAGTGGAGATGCCAGTGTCGGGGTGGACTTGCTTCAAGACTAGAACGAGAATTAGCTTTGTACATGGAAGCACGTAAAACAGGCGTACCCTTGTAGATGTAGGAGGAATAGGTCTCCTTCCTGGTCTTTCCACGCTTCTTCTTGTCACCGGTGCTGGCAGAGGCAGTCTTCTTGCCGGCTTCCTTCTTCTCGGCGGGGGCCTTTCCAGCGGGGGCCTTGCCACCGGTGCTGGGCTTCTTCTCGGCAGCTTTAGGAGGCATTTTAAATCTTGTGTTTGAAACGTAGAGGGTGAAGGTAAAGACGGATTGCGTTGAGTTGCAGCGTGGAGAAGAACGGAGAGCAGGATGATGAGGAAAACTGAAATGAGGGAGACGCGGTGACGAGAGAGGCGCGCTACTTATACCAGCTCGCAAATGCCTAGTTGATCCTGAGGTCCGCGAAAGAAGCAGAATTTCAATACCGTTTTGAATACGTATGATCTGTATGATTAAAGGGTGGGGAACGCGTCACCTACCGCCATAGAACGCCTCAGATCACGCTAGCATGACTGTATTGAAACACATCCCCATCATTACAGAGCTATGCCCGATATGGTAATCCGTACCCGGAATCATGCCAAATCCATCTCCGCCAAGCCATGCGCGCCAGGTGATATGATCTCTTCTTTGATTGGTTAGCCCCGCTAAGCGAGAGGGTGATCTGAAAGGCTCCCCATTAGCCTAACGTCACCCTTGTCGCGTTATTATATATGTCCTCCGCTCCCTCGCGTTCGCCGTCAACCCTTAATCCCATAAACTAATCTTTTCGCCGTGTCAACGTCCTGACCCTATCCTATATCTTCTTCTCACGACCCTAACCAACAAAAAACAACGATCATCAAAATGACCGGAGGAAAGTCTGGAGGCAAGGCCAGCGGTAGCAAGAACGCCCAATCGTGAGAGCCACCATCCACCACCTGCCACAATCGAAGCTAACCCACTCATGTCTCCTAGTCGCTCGTCCAAGGCCGGTCTTGCGTTCCCTGTTGGTCGTGTTCACCGTCTTCTCCGCAAGGGCAACTACGCTCAGCGTGTCGGTGCTGGTATGCTCTCGGAATTGTCTCATTCACCTCTACTTTACTAACACGATACCAGGTGCCCCTGTTTATCTTGCCGCCGTTCTTGAATATCTCGCCGCCGAAATCCTTGAATTGGCAGGCAATGCTGCCCGTGACAACAAGAAGACCCGTATCATTCCCCGCCATCTCCAGCTTGCTATCAGAAACGATGAGGAGTTGAACAAGCTTCTGGGCCACGTCACCATTGCTCAGGGTGGTGTCCTCCCCAACATCCACCAGAGTATGTTTCAAGTTTTCGATCTACACGACTGGCCTAGCAGTGCTAACACAATCTAGACCTTTTGCCCAAGAAGACCCCTAAGAGTGGCAAGGGCTCGGGTAGCCAGGAGCTGTGAACTATTTTTCTTTGGTTTGGGTTTTCTGATTCGGCGTGGATTGGTTCTCTTATTGATGTGATAACGGGGTTCTGGTCTGGGCACGTTAATGGCTCTGCGTTGTTTTCTTCCTTTTAGCTTTTAGTTTCATGGTTGTACATTATGTCCACGGACATGGAATGATACCGAGAATTATTTATGGATACAAACCTTCAATATGCTCCATTCTTGCCGTCGACGTGTTGGCTCTTGTTGTACGTCGGCGAGTGCTACTTATCGCTTTTCAATCTCTATAGTTTACTGCTTCGACAAGCCTTGTTGCAAGTGTGCTATTCAAATTGTATTTTTGTAACAGATATGCTAAAGTACTTCGTAGACGACGATCAGTGGCCCGCAGGCTGGGCAGCGACTAATGGGTGTCAGCACGACGTGCCGGACAACATGCAAGAGTCTGTTATCAAGGACAAAACGGATGAACTTACGAGGCAACTGGGGGGCAGGAAGGTTTCTCTCCCATTTACTGCCTTATAGAAAGTTAGTACCTGATCCTTCCGGCAAGCTTGGACTAGCAATCAAATACCTCCTGGAGCAGTAGGCGCGCGATAGGGGTCCGGGTGCTTCCATGTCTCAAGGAGTTTCTCGGTTTCCTGTAACAGCACCTGTTGAATCGCTATTAGACTAGGTCTGGTACCACTGTACATTGCAGCTCCAATTCAAGGATACCTTCTGTTGCCGAGGGTCGCGAACGTCTTTATTTGCGTCGAATAGTGAGCGAATGTAGACTGCCTGTCCTCGCCAAACCTGACGGTGAACAGCCCAATCCAGGGCAAGTTTGAGGGACCGTCGATAAAGGGAACTGTGATGCAGAGTCAGAGAGTCTCTAGCAGGAGTTCAATCGACTGACTTACGCAGCGGCGCTAAGAGGCATTGTGTCCGGGGAAGTCAGTGTTGAAGAAAGGGATGACGATAATGTGCCCTCGGCTTCGAATTCATCCTCATTTGATAATTAGGCCTGCGGCGGTCCTTGGCAGGCGCTGGAAAGTGCCAAGTTGGCAGTCCTAGGCAGCCGTAATAGCGTAATAATTATACTCCGTTCATTTGCCGGTCGCAGGGAAAATGCAGCTGCTCTTGAGGGAAATCCCGGTTGTCTCGGCCCGGGCTCAAGCTCACGTACCCCGACATAAGTTTCGTCACTCCCTCTAACTTACTTTCAATAATTGAACTTGCATTCCAAGTGGAATCACAACTCAGCTGTCTTCGCCTCGCCCGCTTCCCAGAGTTTACACAGCGGCTTAGGATTGTATATTGTCTTTTCGGACGTTGCTATTGATAACTACCATTTTTCTTTTTTTGTTTCTTTACCCAGGTCATCATGGCTTCTCGGCTACCCTTTCATCGTCTTGCTCGGAGCACCCAGGCTTTCCGCACTGTTTCTTTCGGTCGCCCCAGAAACTTCGCCTCGAATGCGCTCCAAAGAAATGCTAAAGTGGCCTGTCGGCTGAATCCGGCTCTGCAACGGTTTACGGGTTTGGGGTAAGTCCTTCGCGATAAAATGGCGTGGGTAGCAACAGACGGCTTAGACAGGCTCAGAAGCTTCACCAACCCTACCGCTACTCCCTTCGGAGCCCACCAAGTTAGAACCTATGGTACATAAAGAACCCCATATATTTGCCGGCTGCACTAACTTGACGACTCATAGCGGACACTGTTGTCAAGGTCCCACAGATGGCCGAGTCCATCACCGAAGGCACCCTGAAGCAGTTTTCGAAACGTGAGGCTCTATAGGCGTCCACATTGCTATAATTCACTGACGGGATCATCAGAGGTTGGGGATTACGTTGAACGAGATGAGGAGATTGCGACAATTGAAACTGACAAGGTACGAACGCTTAATGACCATGAAACGTGGACTTTGAGATACTCCACGCCCAGCAGCCGCTTACCCGTTCTAGATTGACGTCTCCGTCAATGCCCCAGAGTCTGGCACGATCAAGGAGTTCCTGGTGAGCGAGGAGGACACCGTTACGGTTGGTCAGGACCTTGTTAGACTGGAGCTCGGAGGTGCCCCGGAAGCAAAGAAAGAAGAGGAGGCATCTCAAAAGTCTGCAGAACCAGCTAGACCCGAGCAACCCACGGCTTCGGAGCCAGAGCAAGCAAAGACGTCCGAGGCACCAAAAGCGCCCACTCCCGAGAAGCCCGCCGCCAAGGCAAATGAACCCAAGAAATCGCAGCCCGCGGCACCTAACTCGCAGGCCCCCGAGGACAGCAAATCCAGCATTGGGGGCCGTGAAGAGCGAAGGGTTCGTTGCTATCATAATCTTTGTGTCATGGCCTAGTTTGACTTCGCTAACACGACATGCCACGTACAGGTGAAGATGAACAGAATGAGATTGAGGATCGCCGAGCGCTTGAAGCAGTCTCAGAACACGGCAGCCTCCCTCACCACTTTTAACGAGGTGGACATGTCGTCACTCATGGAGTTCAGGAAGCTCTACAAGGATGATGTGCTGAAGAAGACCGGTGTCAAGCTGGGATTTATGAGCGCTTTCTCTCGAGCATGCGTCCTAGCTATGAAAGATGTCCCTGCAGTCAATGCATCCATTGAAGGGCCGAATGGCGGTGACACCATTGTCTATCGAGACTATGTTGATATCAGTGTAGCCGTCGCCACTGAAAAGGGCCTCGTGACACCGGTGGTCCGCAACGCGGAGACCATGGACCTTGTCGGCATTGAGAAGTCCATTGCAGACCTCGGCAAGAAGGTCGGTCGCTCAAGCTCATTGGATTTCGCAATTTAATCTAAGTTCTCATTCCAGGCCCGTGACAACAAGTTGACGATCGAGGACATGGCCGGAGGTTCTTTCACCATCAGCAATGTAAGTCGTGTTTTGTCCATATTTGACATCGAACTCCATTGACAATGCTGACTTCACAGGGCGGTGTTTTCGGCTCTCTCATGGGCACGCCGATCATTAATCTTCCACAGACGGGTAGGTCCCACGCCTTGGGCTAGGACATAGTAGACAACTGACTAACTTGGTCAAGCCGTTCTTGGACTTCATGCTATCAAGGACAAGCCTGTTGCCGTCAATGGTAAAGTCGAAATACGCCCTGTAAGTCCTCGCTGCATCCTTACCGTCCTCTTAGCTTATGCTAACGTTTGAACCAGATGATGTATCTTGCTTTGACATACGATCACCGACTTTTGGATGGCCGGGAGGCTGTCACTTTCCTTGTCAAGGTCAGGCACCGAACCTGGAGCATTCTAACTCAGAAACTAACCTTATCACTTACTCTAGGTCAAGGAATACATTGAAGACCCCCGTCGCATGCTACTGGGCTAAGCCGTTTGCCACGACTTTTTTACCGATCGGCAGCGGAGGCCCAGGGAACATTGCCATCTCCGCGCGTTCCTGATATCCTGGCGTGTAGAATATTGTTTTGCATCGGTCTATTTTAGAAATCATTTATCGACATAGGTTACTGTTCAATCCATGTAGAGAGGCCCACCATTGCAGCTAGTCTTGTGATTTGTCTCGCCAATGTCCGACTATAAACTGTACAGATGACCGAATTATGGGCTTTCATAGTCCTACTCTTTCTTTCAGCCGTCTGGTCTCTTGACGGGTGAGTCCACCGAGTTTTCCTCTCTCTAGCTGCAGCAGTATGGGTGGATCTAGCGATTGCATTAAGTTGGTCAGGTAATCAATCACTGCACGTGCAAGCTGAGCTGCGGGTAGTTCGTTCGATATGTCCCTTAGGTGAACCTCTAGCGACAAACCGCAAGGTGGCTGGAAGTATTTCAGATGCCCTTGTCGTCCTTTCGCCGGCGATTGTTCTTCTATGGCCTCGTGCACGCGGTGAATACACTCGTCGTAGTCCGGGGTTGACTGTATGCCGGCCGCCGCGAGCTCCTCTTGTGCGGCCGCCATAATCAGGTGAGCTGAAATGGCATCCTTGAGCTCTGGCCAGCTCTCCCTTGGTCCTTCGCCTTCGCAGAGCGCGAGAAATTTGGCCAGTAGGAACAAAGCAGTTACCACCGGAGCGCCGTTCTGTAGTAAAGCATACCGATCACAAAATATCACGGCAAAATTCAACAGTCGGTCTTTGGTATATATGTCATCCGAAAGACTACTTGGGTCTAACAACACTGCTCTAGTTGCTAGGTCGGCAATTGGAAACAGTCAGTGCTTTGATGATGGAGACAGTAGCTCGGCCATACATACTTTCAATCGTTCTCAGGTACCACTCGATATTATGGTCTTCTCGCTTCTGCCCTTCCGCCTTCGCTCTGCCGTGGCATAGGAGTTGGTCAATTGTTGCGCAGAGAAGATAATCGAACATGAGGATATCGACCTCTGCTTGGACGGTGGAATCTGCTTCTTCACTTTCCATGATTACATGTCAAGAGCAATTCACTAGTACGATACGTGTCCGTTGGTCGCATGTCCACTATGGGGATTTTTGCCAGTCACATATATGACGACTATCATGACCACATGTGTCAAGGCTAGCGATAAACCAGGGTACAGATGAGCCCTTACTGACTGTCGCGATTCAGAAAGCAGCTCAGCCAACCCTCGTTATTCGGTGCTGTGGCACGAAAACCACTCACCGCCCATATACATCAGGTGATTTTCCACCCACTTTTTAAGCCAAGTCACCTTTTACAGGTACTGTAAAGTACGAGTACTCTTTCCCTTTCCCTTCCCTTCCATGTGTAGGCAATGAGGTTTTGTACAGTTAGGGTGCGGGAGTCCGTGCAAAGTGCGGCAGAATGGACGAGGGAGCAGGCGGTAAGGTTTCTAACCGTACAAAATCTCATTGCCTACACTTGGAAGGGACTAACTAATAATAACTACTTAAATTTGCGTATAGCCTTTACGTTGAGATTCATATGGTTGTTCATGTCTATGTCGGGAGTCTTTGGAGTTATTTTAAGCCGATCATAGAAGGTCCAAGCATATCAAAAGCTCGGCTACCCAAGTCTGTTACTACATGTACTGCAGTTCCCCACTCCAACGAATCCCGCTATAGCGAAAATACTTAACTTCTCTGCCCCCATACAAATTTCGTTATTTTCTGTCGGCGTTTCTGGGTAATCCGGCCACGTGATCCGATGGCCTTTACCCCTTGCACACACGCGGAGAACCTAGCTGGTAACAACAACCAAGAACCATCAAGAATCATCCGAACACGTTCCGAATAGCCCCGACCCTGAGTCCTCAAATCGCTGACATTTTTGTGATATAACGAAATTCGTTATATCGAGAAAGAACCATACCTAAATAAGCAAGAATTTTTCCGTATTAGGTTAGGAATAAAGCTTTTTAGATTCACAAAATTGGTTTTTATAAGGGTCGGTACCTCAAGAATATATATATCTTTACACCAAATATATTTATTCGCTATAACGATTCCCCCTTACAACAAACATACCGGGCTAAACGGATTGATTCGTTATAGCAGGGAACTACAGTAAGTTATCGGCAATTTGAAGTCTCAGGGGTGAGGTGTATAGAACGTGTTCTTAATTCTCTTAGTAGTTGGAACTAATATATCAATATAAAAAGCAACTTAGCAACACATTATATTACGTAGCCGGATTACTCAGCTGCGCTGACACATTCTCTTAATCCGCACTGTATATAAAATTAAAGCGGCTATATAAAATAAAAATTAATTAAAATATATAGTATTTTTTATTTTTTTTAGTAGTAATCTCTTACTTATAGCGGTTTTTCTTACTCTTAATAGCTTTTATCTATAAATCCCGGGCAGTCTTGCAGTCTTGCGGCAATCTAATTCTTATATAATTTTATATAGTAATTTTAATACTAAATAATATTAAAAAACAGCGTGCGTTTTTTTTTAAAAATAAATATTAATATTAATATAATCAGTATGGTTCTTAAATCTCTTCGATTTTAATTTTAAATATAGCTGTTAATAAATCTTTTTTTTATAACTATTCTTTCTACAGTAGTTACAGATCTAAGTCTTATATTTTTTACAGTATTTTTTATATAAAGTTTTAGCCAACTACTTGTCTTTCTTAATTCTAATAATATTTAATAAAAAGTCTTAATATTGCATCTGTTTTTCGTATTTAATTATCTGGGCGGCAAAATCTTTAAAGCTTGATTTTTTAAACTTATTAAAATAAATAGTAATAAAAATCTTCCAGTGTGGATTATTAAGATTTGCGAGTAAAAAATTATATAAAAACTATTTCAAAAACTATTCTATATATATAAATAATCAATACATAGATTAATAATAAATAATCTATTTATTAATTAATAATAATTATACTTAAAGAATATAATATTAAAAATAATATAATTCAGGATTTAGAATTATTTTAGAAATTTTATATATAGTATAAGATAAATCACTTATTTTATTATTTTTTTAGTTTAGAAAATACTTTAGTAAAGAGAATTATATTTTAAATATTTAATAAAAAATATATTTACTTAATTGAAATTTTTATTTTTATAAATATATAATTATTCCAGCAGTTTTAATATCATAATATGAATTAAAATATTAAGTTTATCTAATCTATTTAGTTTATTTAATTTATTTAAACTATTTTACATATTCTAAACATTTTAATAATCTTATTATCTTTTCTAACTATTTTATATATAATATATAATCTTTTAATCTTCTGTTTTTAAATCTAGTTTATAATTTTTTAAACTATATTTTATATATAAATTTAAAAATAATCTAATTAAAGAGCTAATTAAAAAGTTAAGAAACTATTATTAAATAATATTAAATTAATCTTATTATTCTTATTATTTTAACTAGCTAGTATTTATTAATTTAGTCTATATTTTAATATTATATAATTTTTATTTTTAATAATAATAATTTAATAAGAATTAATAATTTTATAATCTCTAATCATATTAAATAATCTAAAAAATCTATTAAAATATATTAATAGTTATTCAAAATAATAATGTAACTATTATAATAAATTATATTAATATATTATAAATATAAAAATAGTTTATATTAAGATTTGATATGTTATAATAATAAAAGATATTTTATTATTATATTAAATAGATTAAATGTAGAAAAAAACTAATTTAATTTATTAATTTATAGAATTCCATACAGTCTAAAAATTTTTTTTAAAAAAATTAAATTTTAAATAAATATATTAAAACTATTTAGATTATTACTTTTATAATAAATGTTGAAAAACATTATAAATATTTTTATAAAATTAATTATATTAATTTATTTTTATTTTTTTAAATATATATTAATTTTTAATAAATTTAAAAATAACTGTACCGACCTCTACTGTTTTAATAATTAGATTTAAATATTAAAAATTAATATAAATTATTTTATTATTTTTATAATTTATAAATTTTATATTATTAATTATTTAGAAAGAAATCTTATATTTAAATTTAGTTATATTTAAAAAATAAGAAATATATTCTTTCTAATTATTTAATTATTCTTACCGATTACGTTATCATATGGCCGGATTACTCAGCTGCGCTGACATAAGTAATGCATGTGAAGTGGTTGTTAATCACTTGCGCAATCACGAGACCCAGTATGTTACGATAAATGATGTCATAGGCTGTCTGGACCACTCCGAAATCCCCTCCTCAAAGGTCCTGTTGTTTTTGAATTAGTCTACCAACGAATGACCTTCATACTGATCTAATACACATCTATCGAGTAACACCGATCTACGTCTCTGGCAATCATTCCGCTGCTGCAGGCGTGCACACTCTGGAAGTATATGCTTGCTGGGACTTTCGCCACAACTACGCCCTGCACGCAATCCGCCCGGAAGCTATACTCAATGGCGTGGTACTGTTCTGGATCAACCAACAGCGAACTGGTTGAGAACCTCTACAGGGCCGGCCTTATAAAAAGTGAGAGGGTGAGAGATGCCATGAAAGGCGTGAGCAACCCTCTTCTTTCCCTTCTCACCCACCAACCAAGAAATCTCGTTTCCTTCTCCCTGGAGATCACTATCTCTGCGACAATCAGCCACGAGATAAAAACCAACGGTATCCGGATGAGGTGAATCTTATAGTTAGAAGAAGTCTGACAGATAGGTATGCAAGGTTGACCGGGCCCACTATGCGCCGTCAAGGCCGTACTCAGATTCACCGCAGCCAATTGGACACGCCGCGACGATCTCTGCACCGCATATGCACGGCCATGCATGTGAATATCTTATCGACTTTCTCAAGCCCGGCTCGCATGTCTTGGACATCGGGTCCGGTTCAGGCTACTTGACCCATGTCCTTGCCAACCTCGTCACTGATCCATCGGCTGCAAATCAAGCAAACGGCCAAGTTATTGGTATCGACCACATACCAGAGCTTGTCAAATTAGCTTGCGAGAATATGAGCAAGTCAGAGCAGGGCCGTAAGTACCTCAAGTCCGAAAGAGTGAAGTTCATAGCTTCCGATGGGCGGCTGGGATGGCCCCAAGGGGCGCCGTATGACGCCATCCATGTCGGCGCGGCCGCTGAACGGCTACATCCTGTATTGATTGAGCAGCTTCGCTCCCCCGGGCGGTTGTTCATCCCCGTGGACATGGGCAGTGACGATGGAGATGCGGGAAGTCTTGGGTCAAGCGGCGGACAGTACATATGGGTTGTCGACAAGAAGGCAGACGGGTCCGTCAGCAAAGAGAAAATCTTCCAAGTCAGCTATGTTCCCTTGACAGACCGCCCGAAAAAATGATCATGATTAACCTTCTCATATCTCTTGCCATATTTGATTGGATACACAAGTTTGCACGTCGGGACGAAATCTACTCGAAGTTCGCGACTGGAATTTATGAAAATTACCTTGAATGTATGCCTGGAATTTTCAAAAGAAAAACTATATCCGGATCACAAGGTGCGAGATATATATATGATACAAGGGAAAAACCGCTACGTAATTCCCCGAAGACAGTGATGGAAGATAGCGAGACGAGTAGGTTCCTCGACATCAAATACAACAGTCCGTTGTCAGCGAAAAGGAAAGCCACCGCCAGGAAAATTGAAACCCTGCCCGGAGAATTTGAATTGGGGCCCCCCTTGTTGAAAAAAGAATTGTTGACCGCTACCAAAAGGCCCGGACTGAAATGGGTTGCCCCTATGGGACTCGGGATCATTGGGATCATCGCCGTTGTCATAGCGTCCTCTTAGTTCAGGATCTGATAAGACTTCGTAGGCCTCATTGATGGCAGCCATCTTCTTCTCAGCCTCCTCCTTGGATACTCCACGAGATATGACCTTGTCGGGATGATGCTGTTTTGTTAGCTGCCGATATGCACGTTTGATGGTACGCTCATCGGCATCACGCGTGACACCCAGAACCTTATAGTAGTCCTTTTGTCTAGAGCGCTTTTGAAGGACGTGAGCTTTCTGTAACAGGTCCTGAATTTTCTTAGAATTGGGATGATGCTCCTTGGCGTCATTCAGCACGATTATTGCATCTTCAAAGCGATCCTCATCGATGGCCACCTGGCCTTTATACAGAAGACCTGCCAAGGACGATGGATTCAGATCTAGCGCCTGAGAACAATAGGAGGCCACTAGTTTACGAATCTGTGTCTGGGTCGGAAGTGTTAGTGATAAGCCAGACAACCACGGAAAACAGACATTGACATACCTCCTGGTAGGCCTCACAGGTTTTATCAACCAGCGAGGCATAGAGCCGGTTGGGAGCGGCTGGGTGGATATATCCAGCTTCCCTTGCCTGCCTTACATCGTTCTGTACATCGAATATTAAACCACTATCGTCACCGACTCCCACCAGCAGATTGACAACATTGTTGAATTTTCTAGAAATTGCAGCGCTTTCCATGGTCTGAATTCTTTTAAGAAGCTTCTTTTCTCTGCGATAGAGACGATTGCAAATTTTCGAGTCGGGGTCTGAATGCAGGCATTTGCGAATCTGAGAAATGCCGCGATCATAGTCACCAAGGGAGTAGAATAGCATCGATGAAATCTGCAAATGGGGTTCCAAAGAGCCGGGAGATATTTGTGAGATATGTGCGAGGTCGCTAAGACCCTCCTCTATCTCTCCCCGCTCGAACCGACAATGAGCTCGGGTTTGTCGAAGGCTCAGAGACATGCTTGCTTTGCTGAGGGCTACGTTCGCGTGGCTAACGCAGGCATCCCAGGAACCAAGCTTTTCTGCCTCTTGTGCAAGCAGCGCAGAGTCGTGCGCTTCCTGAAGCTCCTTGAATTCTGAAGATGAACCCTTACCAGCCTCGCCGAGATCCTCTAAAGCTCCTGCCCAATCGGCAGACTTAGCCCTGAGACGAGATCGCTGCAGAAGGGCGCTCTCAAAACCTGGCTTCAATTGCAGAACGCGATCGAAGTCGGCTAAAGCCTGAGAGTTCTTGCCTAATGAAAGGTGAGCAGCGCCTCTCTGGAAGAGGACGAGGTAGTTCGCAGGGTCTCTTGAGATGGCCGCATCAAAGTACTGCAGAGCGTCCCTGGGCGAGCCACCGGCAAGATGCGTTTTTGCAGATGCGATCAGAGATGAAAGTGGAGTGTCGTGAGATATTGGAGAAGGTTGCCAGCCTTTTACGACCGATAGGAAGGCCAGAAAGACCGCAAGGAGCCCCGGAGAGACAAACATATTGTAAAAGGAGAGACGCCAATCGATAAGTAATAGGACGGTGGGAATGTAGGATGTTATGGAAGTGGTTTCATATTAGTATGCAATATAAGACGTCGTAGACAAGATGTCAGTGACAGGGAGCAACGCGGATAAGAATGACCTTTTTGATGGTCGAAGAGCATTACATATTTCCAAGAATGTTGATAACAGCCAGCTCTGACCGCGGTGATTTATTATTGGAGATGCTTGTTGCGGGATGCAGCAAGTCTCAATCTTCCAGTCTGGCCTTTACGACACTGTACTGTACGTACATACAGTAATTTGCGCTTTGTCTTGCCCGGCTGGTTACCGTCCAGTTATTGTTTCATGCCGTACAGTATGGTTACAGTCCCTGATTGTACATATCACATGACAGACAGTATTACCCGCGGAAAATTGGCCGCTGTTCAAGTTTCGAGAGAAACAGATCCTACAATCGCATGTACGTGGCACTGAATGTTGTCGCCGATCTCGTCTGTTAACTCGGGAAAGAGACAATGCTCGGAGTGCCTTGGGTCTGCTCTCGGTGTTTGATTCGTCCAGCCAGGGCCTCTCTATATCGACGGTCGCTGCTACAACGTCGGACATACAAAACAGGTCAGTTTGTTCCACACTTGTGTGGTACTTTCGACGACCATGGCTCATGCGCAAACGAACAGGATCGGATCTCTCTCCAGCACTCCTCACACACGCACGCACTCTGGCTGTCGAGCATGCAGCTCTAAGTACTCAATTAGCTGATTCCTTCGACGCCAAGATCGCAAAACGGATTGGAGAGCTAGCACAGGTTGCAGACACTCTCAAGCAGTGGGATAATGCAAACGAAGCATGTGTTTCTTAGGTCCTCACGTCGATCTTCTCGCGCTGACCAATGCACAGTCCATATCCGAGTTACAGGCCTTGTTAGATGATCCAAGAACGGAAGCCGAATTGAAGTCTTTGGCCATTGAAGACCTAGAAAGTAGCAAGCTTACATTGCCCAGTATATCAGAGAGTCTCAAAAAAGCGCTCATTCCTCGCCATCCTTTTGCAGAGCTCTCATGCCTGCTCGAGATCCGACCTGGTGCAGGTGGGGATGAAGCGGGCCTGTTTGCTTTCGAGTTGATGAAGATGTATATCGCCTTCTGCTCTCGCCGAGGTTTTCGTTGTACCATCATTAAGAAAGAAGGCGGAGAAGGGTCGGCCGAGGACCGCCTTAGCGAAGCAGTTTTGGAGATAGAAACGGATGGTGCATACGATACCATGAGAACAGAGTCAGGCGTGCACAGGGTTCAGAGAGTCCCGGCTACGGAAGCCAAGGGCCGTACTCATACTAGTGCTGTGAGTGTCATGGTCCTCCCTAGCTTCCCTGAAACAGGAAGTGGCACCGATGGAGCGCATGGTTTCGATGATCCCAACAGCGACTATTACATTGACCCACAGGAAGTTCGCACGGAGAAGATGCGAGCTAGTGGTGCTGGCGGACAGCATGTGAACAAGACTGAATCTGCGATCCGCTTGACGCATATACCGACTGGTATCGTAGTCTCGATGCAAGATTCACGGTCCCAGCATTCTAATCGGAAGAAGGCTTGGCAAGTTTTGCGTGCGAAATTGGCCGAACAGAGGCGAGAGGCGAGGGAACAGGAACTTGTTGAGCTCAGGAGAGGAGCTATGGGTGGCATTGCCCGAATGGGCCGAGGCGATAAAATCCGCACGTACAATTATGGGCAAAGTCGCTGCACAGACCACCGTAGCGGGCTCACTGTGCACAATCTAGACGACGTCCTAGCTGGTGGGCAGGGGTTAGAGTCCGTAATGGATAGTGTACGGACATGGTTTGGTGATCGCGAAATCGCAGTCATGGCGGCAGAAGCATCGATCAAGCACGAGGTACAGCGACGTGCTTAGCAGGCATGGGTGTATAGATAATGCTGGCAAATGTTGCCATAATGACTACGCTGTTAAGCAGGTTTTTACCGAGCCCATTCGATTACAATTCGATCTCAATCGCGCACATACAGCCCGTAATATTTCTATACATCAACCAGCTTCATAACGACTTAGATATAGCGCCTCTCTGGATCAAATGTGTCCAATGCCTCCATCGTCTTCTCATACCTGTTTTATCATTAGTCGGCTACACAATTCATTCATGTCATCCACGAATCGATAGAGCACATACATGGTGAATACTATGCCGCCACTCATGATGAGCCTCGCTAGTCGTGGAACGGCTCCCGACCAGAAGGTCAGAATGCCCTCGTCCTTGAAGATGCGTGCCGCGCAGACGAAACTATTCCTATAATTCTTACTGGCTTCTAGGGATTGCATCCTAACACTGTGTCAGTACGCGTCTCTGAGGAGATGTTTGACTTGAACACAAACCTGGTCTTCACAGTATCAAGGGGTTGCGTAACGTAACTAGATGGGGATGGATTAGCAACTCCTCTGGACAGCGATATCGGCCTCATTGACGTAAGTAGGGCCACAGCAGGCTTACACCGTGATAAGGCCGGCTATTCCACCGATGGCAAAAGTGCTCACAGTCCCTAACTTCTCTCCAGGAGCGACCTGGCCTTGGGCCATCTGTTTCAGCATTGTATAACTCGAGAATCGTGTCGCCGAGTTGGCAGCCTGGCGTGCGGTTGTAGGAACGAATCCTTGGAAAAAACCTCGAATGCCCCTTTCTTGGTAAATGATCTTGCTCCCATGCAGAAACCCACGCATCCGAGGCTTCTGCGACTTTCGATCGTCAATTCTAACAGCGCCATAGGATGTCAGTTCTGTCCGCCTGAACGAGGAGTAGTGACATAAGCTCATAAAGTAGCTGGCGACCAGGGTCTAACGAACAATTGTGTTTTGATACTCTCAAATGGTGTCACCGCCAACAATGACTCAGTGAAGCCTGCACCGAAGCCCGCGACAACTGTTCGGGGCCCCGAGATCTTGCCGTTCTCGTCTTGCAGGAGTGACTTCAACCAGTCGAAAGCGACGAACCCTATCCACGAAACCAACGCATTAGTCTCAGAATATGCGTCAAAGACTCAGCACCACAAATAGAACCACTCACGGATTCCTGCCTTAAGTGAATTTCCAATGATCAGGGTTGTGCACCCAGCATACCATTGTGAGCCAAATGGTGGCCATGGAAGTTTCTTTGCATCGGGGAGTCTGCGGTTGAGTTGGGTACGGGTCTTTGCAACTGGAGGATTAATTAGCCATTGAGAATAGACCAACCAGGATCTGTCTCTTCCGTACATTCGGCTGGATAAGTGATTGCTAATACTGTTTAGCTTTTTGTAAACGGAGGCCAAGTGAGCATAGCGAGGTATTACCGATCTCGACGGCACCGGCGGTTGAGCCCGCGATAATCGATCGCAAACTACTGGGCTGCGTCCACAGTTTAGAAGTAACATTCTCATGAGCATTCCTCTTCAGACTGAACAGACCTTCGGCCGGTGATCTTTTTCGACGGTGGCCATTGGCGAATGGGTTTAACCAGGTGCAATCCTAACGATCTATCGTGTCAAGGTGTACCTGTCGGGACTTGAGTCAGAACTCAACTATGGCGGACTATAGTCAAGGTCTAACTCACTAGTTCCCCGGTAACCTTATAAGTACGGGATTCCGCAAGGGCAGAACGCGCAGGACTTGCGTCTGCCGACATGCCGAATTTCGCTCTACAATATTACACATGTAGACGAAGTCCACCTAGGGAATTGAGTTGACATTTGACTAGATACTGCACATCTCTTGACAGTCAGTAGCATCTAGTATACCCCAGGCTACTTTTTTTCCGTCCTTTTCTCTTTTCTCGCTTTTTTTTGCTCTCTTTTTCTTTATCTTCCTCGTCTTTCGATTGTTCTTGCCTTTCGATTTCCACATGACACTCGTTCCACCTTCTCTGCCTTTCCTTCTTCAATAGCCTTCAGCTCCCCCAGCATTCATGCCGCTTGATTTCTTCGCTCCTCACCTTCCTCTTCCCTCTTCCCTCTTTTCCTCCTGCCTCGCTCTTCCGGCCCCTTTGCTTTTTTCCTTCCTCCCCGGAGTTTTTCTGGTCCGCCTTTCCCCGATTTTGTTCCATTTTCTTTCTGAATGTTCCCACGATTTCAGTGCCAGAGTTTATCAATGTCAACGACGAGCACAAGGACGGTCACGAGATAGACTGGCAAACGACGTGACCCAAAGCGAGTGTACAGAGACGAAAATGCATAAAGAGTCGTGAAGACTTCGCCGTTAGCGCCAGGATGCAAATGCCGGTGTTGTAGCCATAGTCATGCTGTGCCGAGAGGAAATATAGTCCAGTGCCGTGGCGTATGGCGAGCCTGGCAAATGAGCTCAGGAAATGATGGTGAAAACCGGCATAGCTGGGGGTAAACCCAATCGCCTCGTTTCTGTATGTTAGCCAAAATTCGCCAGAAACGCCGAAAACATATACCTTGCAACGTGTCCGCGAACGCCTTGATCATCTCACCTGATCCCAATGCAGTCCCAGAGAAAGATATATGTACAAGCGATCAGAGCAATGGCAAGAGCCTGACTCATCATCCAAAGGTGAGTAAGGGACAGGTAATGACCGGAAACAAATACACACTGAAGGAACCGAGCAGATTAGGTATGATACAGACATAGATGTTCCTGCATCTTCGAATTCGAGGTGCAAAAACTATCATGTAGGAGACAAAATTCACAGCAAAACAAAACACCAGGAAGGTGCCACAGTGTTGGGCCCATAATTTCATGTAGCCAACAATCATCGCAAAATGAGCAGACCACAACCAATAATGAAAGAGAACGGAAATAAGAAGGGCATGACAAGAGTGAAAAGCACAAAAGGCAAAGGAGCTCAGAAAGGGAAGACGTGGGCGTAGCACTCATTAATGCGGTAGCTGGTCGTTTATGACACTGGTGTAGTATGATTCTTGCCGCCTGTCTGACCTTGAGAGGCGCTAAATTGCTTCGCATCGTTATGAATGCTGCGACGTTGGCCCTGGCCCCGGCCTCCGCGGTATGAGCCTCGGCCCCGATGAAACTGATAATGCCCGCCATTCGCATGGTGAGTAGGACGACGATCTGCGGCAGGTGCATTTGTGACTGTGGTATTGATCTGAGGTTGTGATGGGTTCGCGATAGGGCGTGGGATTGTGTCAGGTGAATCGTAAACATAGAGCTTTTTGTCGATGTTCTGAGGAATGGGCTGGATTTCCGTTCCCAGTTCCTGTTCAATTTTATACAAATTGAAACGGTCGTCCCAGTTGATGAGATTGATAGCAAGTCCGAGATGTCCGAAGCGACCTGACCGACCAATCCGATGAAGATAGGTTTCAGCATTCTTAGGGAAGTCAAAGTTGATGACGACATTGACAGCTTGAATGTCAATACCGCGGGTCAAGAGGTCGGAGCAGACGAGATTACGGCAAACGCCGTTGCGAAAGTCGTGGAATACTCGGTTTCGATGTTGTTGAAGCATCCTTGCGTGTGAATAGAAGCAGGAATACCCCAGCTCAGTGATCTTCTTTGCGAGTAACTCAACCCGATTGGTGGAATTACAGAAGATGATTGATTGATTGATCTGTAATTTTGAAAACAGCGTGTTCAAACAATGGACTTTCTGTTTCTCCTCCACAAATGCATAGTACTGCGTGATTCCTCTTAGGGTGAGCTCGTCCATGAGGTTAATCTCATAAGGGTTGCGCATGTGTTTGTCCTAACATATGTCAAGGGCCATTTTTTGGGATAGATACATCTCATGATAAACCTACCTTGAAGGATTTCACAATCAGTGGGAAAGTGGCACTGAAGAGCATCACTTGACGATCCTTGGGATGAAATGACAACAGCTGTTCAATGACCGGGGTGAATTCAGGCGATAGCAATTTGTCGGCCTCATCCATGACGAATGTAGGGCATTCAGAAAGATCAGCGACACCTTTGCTCGCCAAGTCCAACACTCGTCCAGGCGTTCCGACAAGAATATGGACGGCGTCGTTCAAGCGGATGATGTCATCCATCAATCCTGTCCCGCCTGTAGTAACCATAACGTTGATGCCAAGATGTTTCCCCAGAGTTTTACAGACGTGAGAAGTCTGAAGAGCCAATTCCCTTGTGGGAACCAGAATGAGAGCCTGCGTTTTGGTGCTTTTGGGGTTAATGCGTTCCAAGGTTGGGATGACGAAAGCCGCTGTTTTCCCCGTGCCGTTTTTGGCTCGGGCTAGGATATCTCGGCCGGTGAGGGCGACAGGTATCGTTTCTTCTTGGATAGGTGATGGTTTCTCGAATCCAGCTTCGAAGATTCCCATCATGAGTTCACGTTTGATGTAGAAATCTTCGAATTCGAGGCCTTTCGTAGCAGTAACATCCTGGGCGCAAGTCAGATGGCGACGAGCCCAAGCTAGTCTTCGAGTAACAAACCTCAGTCTGTGGTCTCGCATCCTTGGCGGGGACATTTAATTGTTCCTTCCACTTCGCATCTGAGCTGGTATCCCTGGCAGAATGTAGACATGGTCAATTCAAGCTTCATTGATAGGGAGGCGAATACAGTACCCTAAGGAAGTGCTTTTCATTTGTGAGGCTAGTGCGTCGGCCATGTTGCTTAGTTGTTCGGAGATGATTGTGATTGATATGATCACGTTTCTTTCTCGGTATAGGGGTGGCCTAGGATTGCCGGATGGTGATCGAGTGTGCTCAAAGCTTCAATGTAGATGATTTATTTTGGAAACTATCGTGTGGAACAGGCTCGCTCCGGTGCCGATAAACGAGGGCGTTGTATCGTTCAAAGCCAGGGAGACTGCGTTTGATGGGTCTGCCGGAAGGAGGGAAACAACACAGGAACTGATAGCGATGAGATTTTTGTTGCGGTGAGTCAAGGTGTGATAAGCTCTAACAAATGATTTCAACAGGCGAGTCGAATGTATCGCTGCGGTAGCGTAAGTTGAGTCGAGGTGCTAATTCGGAACCGGGGATGTCTTAGCAATTCCAATGAATTGTTGGGTTGAACTGGTAGGGGCCTGGAGACGAAGTCACTGCTCTTCGTGTGGGCCGGTTTGGGCGTAGTCCAAAAACGGGCCGAGCCTCACAACGCGGTGGGAGGAGGTATGGTATGTACCTTTACAACGACTCAGGAAGTACGCAGTTACCCAAGCAAAGTCGGAACGAATGCTACTAAGTTCTAAAGGATCCAGGCTGAATGTGAAGGGCTATAACTGCTCAATATTGAGATGCATGAAGAACCAGGTATGACTTCGATGAATGGCAGTCAAGTTCAGGAATTCCGTCTAGCCTATGGTTATCCGGCGAATTACAGTATTACGTATCGGGTTTTCACATTGCTCAAGACAATAGAGGTCTTCAGCTGCGTTGGACATTCCCAATTATAGGGCCCTGCCCAGTTCTTAAAGAATTTAACACATCTAATCAGAAAGACAATCGTCTTAAAAACTAATCAGATCTGTCCAGTAACTGAAAAAATCTTTCCAGTTTCTAATATAGTAAGAATATTCTATTATATATATTAATATATTCTACTAAAAATTGATATAATTTATAAAATCTTATATTTCTGCTTTCAATTTCCAGATACGTACCTAATAAGTTACTTTTTTATATAAAAAAGTCTTAAAAATACTTATTAATAATATAAATTTAAATATAAAGTCGAATTATGTTATAGATAACCCCCATAACTATGGCGGATTGTTAACAATCTATCTATACATCCTCCGCGCAACAATCATAATATTAATAATTTAAACCTTCTTCAGTATTTAACTCTTAGAATCTTGCTAAATCTTTAAAATAGTAAGAATTAGTCTTAAAATTAATAAACTGCTATTATTCTATATCTAACTGATTTTTTTATTTTTATAATTCTAATTCTTTTTTTTAATTATTTATAAAATATAGTATATTACTGCAATTCTTAAATCCAAACAGCAGTTCGGAATCGGAAATTTTTTTTATTATTAATAGATTATTATTTCTCTTATTAGATTCTTCGGTAGAAAATCTTACTGTAGTTAAAAATATTATTAGTCGACTATAAAATTATCAGCAGTTATAAAAATAAATTATCGAATTATAATAAAAAATTTAATATAATAATATCGAATTGGCACCGAATCGGTAATAGAAAACTTTTTTTTTAAATAAATCTAAAATAAATATTAAGATTAAAGATATCCCGTAATTCGAACTTTTCTTTAATATATAAAAATACTAGGAGTAGTTTTATAATTTAGATTATAATTTTTAAAAAATATTATTTAAATTCTATAATAATTACTGTAAAATTTTTAAGACTGTAAGTTATATAAATATAATCTATCGGTAGAAATAATATTATTATTTTAAAAAACTATTCTTAAATTAAAAGAAAGATGTTAGCTATTTATAGTCTATTTTTTTTAAATAAATATTTTTTTTTATCTGAAATATTATTATTTTTAAATCTAATATAATAAGTTAGTTAGAAAGAGCTCAGCAATAAAGTAATTAAAAATCTTATAAATTTTATATTTATTTTAATATTTTAAAATAATATTTTTTAAAATTATTAATAAAAAATATAGTTATATTTTTTTTATAAAACTGCTTTTCGATTTCAGCTATTATATTAAAAAATATATATACCAGCTGTTAGAAAAGTAAGATAAAATAATATTTCTTATTATTTATTATTAGAACTTATATATATAATAATAAAAATATAAACAGAAATCCGACGGATCTAATATATTATAAAAATAATTACAGTTTTATAAAAATCTTTAATTTTTTAATTTTAAAACTAATTATTTTAATCCAGTTAGAAAAGTTTTATAATATTTTTTATATAATAGTACTGAGCATCTTACCAACCGATATTTTTTAAAAAAATATCAGCTTAAATTTAAAAACTATAAATTAAAAAAAATAATATAAAAAAATAGAATAAGCTGAGGCCAACTCTTCTACTTTAGTTCTATATTATAAAATAAAAACTATTAATATAATATTAATATTAGTACGGATATTTTATATTAAAGAAGTCTATACTGATATTAATAGCTGTACAGTATATAATTTAATTAGTATTTAATTTATATAATAATATTTTTTTAAAATTATTAAAATATTTATTCCAGCTGAAAGTAATTAATCATACTGCTGTTATTAATTATAATATATAGAATATTCTATTAAATATTATTAATTTAAAAAAAATATAATATTATTTTATTAGATTTTATATTACTACTTTTTAAAATGTCTTTATATTATTTTTTATAATTATTATATTTAATTATAAGATTTACTTATTTCTATAAAATAAGTAATAGTAGTTTGAATTTAATAAAATTTATAAATTAAATCTTTGGAAGTTTATTAAAGCTTACTAAAATTATATTTATATTTATACTATTATTAAAATGCCAGAGGAACTATAGCTTTTCGAAGATAATAAATTATTAGAATATTATTAAAATAATTTTATTTTATTAAAGTTAGTTGAATTTATTAATATTTTTTTATTTAATTAATCTAAAGTACTTTTAGAATACTATAATAAAAATTATACTATTAATTTTTTTAAAGACAAATTATCTTTATTTAAGCCTATCTACTCCCTTTCGAAAAAAGAATTTTTTAATATTTAAAGATTATATTAATAAAAATATTATAAATAGAAGAATATATTTATTTAAAAACTCTACAGGGACTCCTATTCTCTTTATATTTAAAAAAATAAAAGTCTGCGGCTATATATAGATTACTGTAGATTTAATAAAATTATAATAAAAAATTAATATTTATTATTTTTAATTTCTAAGATTTTAGATTGTTTTACCGGATATAAATACTTTAGTAAAATTAATATTTAAAATACTTATTATTAAATTTATATTAAAATAAATAAAAAACTATATTTTATATATATTACAGTTATTTTAAGTATATAGTAATACTGTTTAGCTTAATTAATATATCTATTTTTTTTTAAAATTATATATATTCCGCATTGCATGATATTCTTAATATTATTTATATTATATATTTAAATAATATTTTTATTTTTTTAATAATAAGATATAAATATATCAAATATATTAAGAAAGTATTAATATAATTATAATAAGCTAATTTATATATTAAATTATTTAAATACTATTTTTTTTAATAATAAGTTAAATTTTTTAAATATATTATTTTATCTACAGATATTATAATAAATTCTAATTAAATTAAAACTATTGTTTTATAGCTGTTATCTATTATTTATTATAATATTTAAATCTTTTTAGAATTTTATAATTTCTACGATAAATTTATTTACAACTTCTTTTTTCTAATACTATTTTTAATAAATCTTCTAAAAAAAGTTAAAATAGTAAAAAGCCTAAAATATATTATTTATTTTTAAATAAAAGACTGGTATTTTACCGGCTTATTAATATATTTTAAACTATTTTTTTATTATTTTAATTTAATTTAATCTATCCGGATCGAAACCGACGTCTGTAGTAAAAAAAATAGCAGATATTTTAATCTAATTTAAATTAATAGAATAATATTATATAGTTGCTATTTAATTAAGAAAGTTTTCGGATGCAGAATTTAATTAAAAAAACTCTGGATTAAAAACTTTTTACTATTATTTATTTTTTTAAATATTAATATTAATATTTTAATAGAACTTAGTATTTTATTAAAATTTTATTTAACTATATAAATCTTAGATTATTTATAAGTCAACCTCGGCTTAATAAATATTAAATATATTAATATATAATTTTGGCTTTTTTTAATTTTATAATTAAATACTAATTAAATAAGAACAATCCTGCTGATATTCTATTTAAACTATTTAAATTAGTAAAAAGCTTTTATAATAATAATATTATATAAATATTTTATAATCGGTTAGTATCCATCTCGGTAGTATCTGAAATTAATAAATTTTAATTTAAATATAATAAAATATTTTTATAAAAAAAACTTAAATTTAATATTTATATAATATTAAACAGACTTATAAATACTACTAATATCGAATCAGTTAATTAGACTGTGGTTTATATAATAAACTATAAGAAATCCGCCAGCACTGCAGCTATAAAAAAAGAATAAATAAAATTAAAAGATTTATAAATCTAATTATAATAATAATCTAAAAAAATTTGATCGAAATTTTTTAAAATTAAGATTCTAAATTTAAAAAAAAATAAACTATTTAAAAAATTAAGAGCTTATAACGGATAGATTATTATATTTTAAAAATAGATTTTATATATTAAAAATAGAAGATTTATATTAAGAATTACTGCAGTAATACTATAATAATTTATTAGCAGATTATTTTAAATAAAATAAAATAAAACAACTTTTAATAAAAAATTTTATTAGATTAATTTTTAAAATAATATAAGAAATTATATTATAACTTATTCTATATACTAATATTAAACCGTATCTAAATATTAATTATATAAAAGATTTAAAAATCTATTAATTTTATTAAAATTATAAATTAAAATTATTATAGATTTTTATTATAAAACTATCCGAATTATACCATCAGAATTATTAGATAGATTTTATATTAATAATT